GCAGAGTAAAGACTGTTGAGGCGGTGGGGGGGAATGACCATAGGGGGAGCAGCATGACCATTGAGGGGGTGTGGGGACCAAGTGAAAAAAGCCCAATACAAGGGTAGGAGGGGCAGGTAGCTGACTAGTGGTGGCTATTCAGCAGCCTGATGGTCTGAGGGTAGAAACTATTGGCCAGTCATCCAATTTTTGCCATGATGCTCCTGTACCACCCCCGTCTGAGTGATTGAAGCGGAGAGAACAGGGCGTGGCTTAGGTCCCTGATGATCTTCTTGGCCTTCTTGCAACACCTGGTGTATGGCAGGCAGTGTGCAACCAATGGTGTGTTTCGGCTGAATGTATCACCTTCTGAAGCACCTTGCAAGAAGAGTTGAAGAGGCTGAAGAGTCGCTGTCGTGTCTTCTTCACCACGGTGCCCGTGTGGTTAGACCATTTCAGCTTCTCTGAGATGTGTACGCAGAGGAATTTGAAGTTATTGACCGTCTCCACGGCGGCCCCGTTGATGAGGATGGGGGTGTGTCCAGCCTGGATCCTCCTGAAGTCCACAATCAACGCCTTTATTTTGCTAACGATGAGGGAGATATTGTTTACCTGGCACCACGCCGTCAGAGTGCCTACCTCCTCCCTGTAGGCTGTCTAGTTGTTGTTGATAATCAGGCCTACTACTGTTGTGTCGTCAGCGAACTTGATGATGGAGTTGGAACTGTGTGAAGCCACACAGTCGTGGGTATACAGAGAATACAGGAGGGGACTGAGGACGCACCCTAGTGGGGCCCCTGTGTTGAGAATCAGTGTCGAGGAGGTAATGTTGCCTACTTTCACCACCTGGGGGCGGCCCGTCAGGAAGTCCAGGACCCAGTTGCATAGGGAGGAGTTTAGATCCAGGGCCGTGAGCTTTGTAATGAGCTTATAGGGCACTATGGTATTGAAGGCCGAGCTGTAGTCGATGAACAGCATCCTCACATATGCATTCCTTTTGTCCAGGTGGGTAAGGGCAGTGGAAGAGGGAGGGAGAGACAAAACCGGAGAGGGAGAGAAGAAGATGGAGAGAGAAAAAAGGGAGTGTGAGCAACAGGTAGAAATGGGCAGAGGGAGAGAAAGAGGGAGAAAGAGTAAAGGCAGGAAATGGGAAGTGAGCAGGAGTAAAGAAGGATAGAAGGAAGAGAGGGAATGAGAGAGAGGAGGAAGGGGAGAATGAGTGATGGAGAGATATATATTAGAGAGAATGGGAGATCGAGAGAATGGGAGAGAGGTAGAGGAACAGAGGTAAAAAGAATGACAGAGTAAGGGAGAGAGATAAATATAGGGAGAGTGGCAGATCAAATGAGAAAGGGAAAAAGAGAGACTGAGCGAGAGAGAAAGAGAGAGGGAGAGAGAAAGGTAGGCGCAGTAGGGAGAGAGAAGGAGAGTGGCAGATCAAATGAGAAAGGGAGAGACTGAGCGAGCAAGCGAGAGAGAGAGAAATACGATGCTATTTCAAGGCCAGAACTTACTGATAATGCCACTCTACCTCAAAGTGCAAAGCGCTCCTGTCATGCTCCTGCATGACTGTGCCTCTGGAGAATTCCCTCCTAGATCAGATGATACGAGGAAGCCTGACAGCACAGTGTGCGGCACTCGCACATTCTATTTGACATGTTTCTAGGCTAGATTGTGATGAAAAGTAGACTACTTGGTTTCCTTGTTTAATTGTTTATTCATCGACCCACAGCTGCTGACCAGAAGCAACAGAGGACACCTGTAGATGCCTAATGAGTCCAATGAATCCAAAGACATCAATAAGGTAATATAGTTAGTAAGTACACTGAGTGTACAAAACATTAGGAACACATTTTAAGTTGATATATACACTGAGTGTACAACACATTGAGTTGCACCCCCTTCAAATACAGTATTGAGTTGCACCCCCTTCAAATACAGTATCTCATTTACTGGACTCTACAAGGTGTCGAAAGCGTTCCATAGGGATGCTGGCCCATGTTGACGCCAATGCTTCCCACAGTAGTGTCAAGTTGGCTGGATGTCCTTTGGGTGGTGGACCATTCTTGATATACACGGGAAACTGTTGAGCGTGAAAAACTCAGCAGCGTTGCAGTTCTTGACACACTCATACCGGTGCGCCTGCCTGGCACCTACTACCATATCCAGTTCAAAGGCACTTAAATCTTCTGAATGGCACACATACACAAACCATGTCTCAATTGTCTCAAGTCTTAAAAATCATTATTTAACCTGTCTCCTCCCCTTCATCTACACTGATTGAAGTGGATTTAACAAGTGACATCAATAAGGGATCATAGCTTTCACCTGGATTCACCTGGTCAGTCTGTCATAGAAAGAGCAGATGTTCATGTTTTCTACACAGCATATACAGAGCTTTTGTATTAGAATGTCACTGAAGCAAATACAGACTACTAAAAATAACAGCCGAGTATGATGCATGTCAGTGTCCCCATGTCACAATTTTGACAGCTTAATTTGACAAACACATTTCCTTGCATCTTCAAATGTCTTATTAAATGATTCATTTGGCACAAATGTTCTGCTGAAGTCATGTGCATCATTTTGACATTGGATATGATTCATGTTTTTTTGTGGATAATTTCTTATTAACCTTTGGATGCACCTACACATAGAAAATGAACTACTTGGCATCCTGACTTTACAGGCTTTTGATGATATAATGGCCAAAATAATTGGATTGTATTACAATATAAATTCACCATATCAAATGTAGACTTGCGATTGAGCAATGAACCGCATGTGTCCAAATGAACAGATGGGATATGATAGAGCATATTGTTATGTTTTGAATGGACCACTTGCAAAGCGAAGAAGGAATGTTGAGAGGAGCACTGGACTCATGAAAGGCTGATTGAGTTAATATGACCTACTGAGAATCCCATTGGATGAATGTATCAGTCCACATACAACAGGGACATATACGTAGACAATGGAATGCAATCCATCTAAACACACTGACCTTCCTGACTCTGTCATGGTAAAGTCATCACATTCTCCTCTGGGACACAAAAAGGGTGTGAGAGAACCACAGCCTCTTTATATCACTCAAAAGCATGTCTATTGTATTCCCCAGAAGCTGTCTCTTTGAGCTCTTAGGTCCTTGAATTAGAAAATAACCTCTCACTTTTCTTCTTGTCTGTCTACCTTCCCTCCCACCATCTATCATCCCTCTCTCATCTCGTTCCCTCGCCACTCTCAGGTTGCTGGGTCATTCCGTGGATGACGTGAGGAGGACAGAGGACCCCCCTCCACCCCAGCCCAGCCCCGCCCCCTCTGTCCCTCTCAACCTATCTACCGCTGTGTCCTATGGCTTTTTATTCCTATATAATGTCAGATTGGGATCATGTAGGGATAGAAGCCACTTAACACACGGTGAGAGAGCTTCATGAAGGCAGCACGGGGGGAGAAAAAGCAGTCCTAGTTGGCCTGCTTTATAATGTCCCATACCCTTGGTGCATATGGTTTGATGAATGTTTCCTGCTTCTGGTTTCATGTTCCCTGTAGTAAGGCTACATTTGTGCTCTTCCTTCAGATAATGAGTTAGCAGCTCATTGAAGTGTTCAGAGAAGAGTGATTCAGATGCTGTTATGGTTGTCGGTGCACCTGTTTTTGCTTCCAGGCCTTCACCGTTTTCAATTTCTGATGCTGTGGTGACGGCGGGGGTCTGCAGCGATGGATGTTGGAACATTGGCAAAAGATGTCATAAACAAAAGGAAGAAACAAGCGAGGAGAAACCAATGCATATCTTTAATAACCAACTTTAAAAGAGGCACTAAGTGAACAAATTTACAATACAAGAGGCATTGCATTTCCATTTATTTTTTTCTCTCTCTCTCTCTCTCTCTCTCTCTCTCTCTCTCTCTCTCTCTCTCTCTCTCTCTCTCTCTCTCTCTCTCTCTCTCTCTCTCTCTCTCTCTCTCTCTCTCTCTCTCTCTCTCTCTCTCTCTCTCTGATTCTGTTGCACATTATTAAAATAAAACTTTGACATTGAGCATTGCACCAGGAAATAATCTACCTATAATATAATACACTATAAGATACATATAAACAAGATAAAGCACCTTTTTTGTCTTAGTAAATAATATTCATAATTAAACAGTTGGAGGACAGACATGGAGGACTGAGTGTGTGTTTTGTGTGTGGTAGTATCAGTGCATGGGAGGATCTCCTAAAACAGGTCTCAGGACTGGGAATAGTCCTTGGATGCACCTGAGTTTGTACAGATGCAAGCTTTCCTAATTTTCTTTCCTAAGGACCTACAGATGAATACTTTGTTGGAGGAGGTTTTACACAGTCTTTTTACATTTAAAAAAAAATAAACTACAGAGAACCAGCACAAACGGTTGGATGAATGCAACTGCTACAGATCTCATGTTCCCTTCAGTTAGAGGACATTGGCGTTCACATTACAATAAAGAATAACATAGCACCAGTTAATGTTTATACAAAAGCTAATATAATGAATGTCAATGAAGTACAGTAAGGTAAAAATAATACAAAAAGAGTAATTTTGGAGAAGCATATACAAAAGGTGCACTGACATAGTCCAAGTCCGTTGGGATGTCATTTGGTCCTATTGCATTAAAAAAACAATATCCTCTATGAACACTTTTTGATTGTCATGCATTATTTGTAAAAAAAAAAATCAGTTTTATTTTCAAGTATTCTTTTTGTATTTTTCGAATGAAATATAGTCTCTGAAAAAGATAATGTTCAACCTAAGAATAGCAGGAATTAGTCAATGATTTGCCCTACTAGCATTTTCATTCAAGATGAATAAAATAATCTTCCTCACATTTGTGTAATAACAACACATTTACAAGAGAAGAAGACATAAAGTGACAACATAAGTATTTAGACAAACATTTCACAGAGAGCCATGCAATCTCATTCATGGTCATGAATTGTCTTGATCATCAGTAACGTGAACAACTTTTCAGTCTCTTTGTTTTCTTTCCCACAGATTCCTCCCACAATCAGTTTATTGGTTCTGAAGTGTCCTTCCTCAAAGGAATCTTAAAACTGGTGAGCTTCTGGCCAAACAGCTGGCTCAGGAGGTTGTTCTGTGACTCTGCTGTCCTATAGGAGTGGCTCTCCATGGACCTCACCCCTGTCTTTGGCCTAGACTTATTCAAGGAATTGTTCATAGGAGGCGCTGATGCTTTAGAAACTGGGTAATGAAGAGGCCGTCCAAGAGGCCCCTTTTTGGCTTTGTAATCCCCATTAATATGATGCACCATCTCTGCTTTCCTTGGCGTGCAGTTATCGAGGGAGCTTCTCTTTGCTTGAAGGCCTAGACTCCCTGATGTTTTGTGCTTGGGGACTATTTTGATGCTGACCACATCTTCTTTCACTGAAGAGAGCACCGGGTATTCGCTGGGGCCGTCCGATTTCCTGTGAACTGCCGGACTCTCGCACTTGCTGGGACGGAACTTATTTTTGGCCTTGACGTCGGCACCAAGGTTCTCCCGTGTGGCAGACGAGGAGACCCTCTGTAAACTGTGAGGTGTCCTCATCTCTTTCCTCTTCTTCTGTTCTCTTCTCACAGAGTCTTTGTCCTCGTTGGATGCCGGGCCCTGGGAAGTGATCTTGGTGTGGTGGACTGGTGTTGACTCTATGGCCCTGGGGCTGTTGTTGGAGCTGTGTTTAGTGTTTTCACTGGGTTTGGGTGTGGAGGCTTTGTCCTTCTGCTTGTTGTCATGGCTGTGAGGGCTGGTTGACTGTTGCCCCTGCTCACTCTCCCTCATTTGGTCCATCACAATGGTAGATGATTTATGCTTTGTAGGAGGACGGTGGAGATCATGTGAATCGGGTCTCTTTGAGCTGTTGATCAGGTTTTCACGGAAACTAACATACAACTCCTCATCCGATGCCGTGGAATCTCTCCTCTGTATCTTCTTCTTTTCAGCTTCTGCTGTGGTAGTCTGTGTGCTGCTCTCAGGAGTGCTCTGCTTAGCATTGGCAAAGCACTCCCTTTCCTCTTCAGCTGTACTGCTCTCAAGGGGATCATCCTCTTCCTTCACATCACATGGCTCTGTGAATGATTTGCCATCGGCCTCACCAATGTCTCTAACAGGCAGTTTAGGTGAAGGACTGGGATCAATGTCCTCTGTTTTGGGTGTAGCAGTCGAGAGACTTTCAGAGCCCAGGTGAAACGTACAATGCTCCAGCTCTACCAGCATGTCAGAGTAGTCCTCAGCCATGTCCTCAGTCTTCACATGGGCATAATTTTCAGTGTGATATTCACATGCACTGGTCTGTGTAGAGTCCTCTGTTGTGTGTACAGAGAGTTTCAGAACTGGCATCTCAGCACTCTGATTTAAGTGCATTGAGGCTATGCTGGCGATGCCACTGTCAGAGCTGTTCTCTTGTAGACTGTCACTAAGAATCTTTCTCTTTTTGTTAGCTGGCAATTCACACTCATCGTTCTCTTTGGAGGCAGATGTCTTGATAGGTCTGAGAACTCCTCTAAACTTGAAGATCTTATTCCCACCTGACAAGTGCTTTTCCATGTGTCGGTCAAACTGCTCTTTCTTAGAGAAGGTATAGTTACAGGTGCTGCAGATGAAAGATTTCTTGATCACATGCATGACGTCTGCACACAGCTCACAGGTGTATAGGGTGGTATGCTTTGAGTCAAGCTCATCCACCTCCTCATGCTCACTCTTCAGATGATATTTTAGATCCTGTGGCTCCTGGTAGGTCACTGGGCATTTGTGGCACAGAAAAATCTTATTTAAGTTGTGCACAACCAGATGCCTCTGAAGCTTGAAGGGTTTGGGGAACTGCTTGCCACAGTGGTGGCAGTCTCTTGAGGGGTCTTTACAGTTGGGGTGCATCTCCACATTCTTTGGCACTGGCTCTGTTTTGTGCAGAACCTCAACAGGTGTCAGCGTGCTTGGTTTCCCCACTTTTTCACTGTTCTCTTTAGGCTTGACAACTTTGGGCTGAGCTACCTCTGTAGTTCTCACCTCCTGCCCAGTGTTTTCTACCACGGCTAGTTTATCCTTGTTGGAGACCTTACTGGACTCTCTGCTGGCCTTGCTGGGGCGGCGTTGCATGATGGAGGTGATGAAGTTCTTCACGGCTGACTCCTGCATGCCAGAGCCTGGCAGACTCCCCAGGATAGCGCTGTGTGACTGGCCCTTGCGGGCAAACTGCGTGGCATGCTCCCGTAAGTGCTCATTGTACATCCACACGTCCGATATCTCCTTCAGGCACATGCCGCAGGTCCAGATGCCGGCCTTGTTCTTGGCGTGTTTCTCTCTCAGGTGGTCCCTCAGCTGCTCCCGAGAACTGAACTTGCGCTGGACACACATGTAGCAGGTGGGAGGTGGAGAGGGGTTGTGGGATAACTTGTGGAAGTTGAGCTCCCCCAGGGTGAGGAACCAGGTGAAGCATACCTTGCACTTGTACTGTTTGTCCTTGATCTTTACGCTGTCCTCTTGTCGTTTCCTGCGTTCTGTGAGCTTCTTGGCCTTTGCAGTGTCTCTGGTCTCTGCATAATCAGTGCCAATGGGTCTTTCTAATGGGATGTCCTTGTTGGAGTCAAATAATTGAATTTCGGGTAGCTGGAATGTGGTATTGAGGTTTGGGATGTCAATGTTGTGGAAAGGAGACACATTGTCTGTAGCACATGGCTCTCCAGGATAAGGTGCAGAAGAGGCTATAATAGGAAGTGGACATGGTGGGGTTGGGACTTCTGCTTTACAGGAAGTTGGGTCAGAGGAGATCACAGTATCTGTAACAGAGTCGTTGGAGGCACTCCATTCCAATGATGCTTTGTCGATAGTGCTCTCGGGTTGGCATAGGAAGTCACTGCCATGCTCCACAGTATGCTCATGAATGTCTTTGTGGTCTGTTGTATCTCCTTTCATGTTACATACTTTTTTGGAATCACTCTTTAACGTGCTATTATGACACATGTTCAACATGATAGCATCGTCAATGGATATTGTTTCATATTCACAAGGGTCATTTTGATTGTTGACAAATGTTTGGTCTATCTGATTTTCTGTATAGTCATCTTTCTTTTCGAGATATAGGTCAGGAGGAGGATAGTCTTGAACTAATGGTGAATCGGGTGATAGTTTCTGCTTCTTGTTCTTCTTACCATAAACCTTAGCACATTTTTTCCTTTTCAGTTCCTCGTTTCTAGTGGGGAATAGCTGGGAGAATGTGCTTTCATCATCAAGAAAAACATTCAAATCAGTGCTTAGTCCAGGAGGGCTTGCAAGAGAAGATTTAAAACAGGAGAGATTATCCACCTCATCTGTCGGGCCAGTGTTTTTCTCAATCTTTACTGCAACCTCTCCCAGTATTTCTTTGGCAAGACTCTGATCTTTAGTTTGTTGCTCACATGCCTCTTTTGTGTCATACAAATTCTCTCTAGACATATCATAATCCCTACTAATATCCTTACTTACAGATACTTCCATACTAACTTCTGCTTCTCCATTGACAATCTCTGGCAGATTTGTGCTTTTCACCTCTTCTGTATCATTGTTGCTTTGAGTCAAGTCCATAGCTAGACTTGTAACCTCTATTGGAGACATTGGCATCTGTTCAATGCCACTGTTACTTGTTACAGTACATTGGACTTCCTCCTGCTCTGTAACTTTGTGGTTTACAAGATAATTGATTATGTCTTGTTTCTCAGGTGACTTGCAGCATCCTTGCTTTACCCGGGTTTGGATTTCAGGAGTAATAGCCTGTAATATGTCTGTTTTCAATATATTGAGAAGCTCGTCAGAGAATGGGGCAGGCTTCACGTTCACTTCATTGTTTTTGTTCTTCCGTGGTTTGTAGCTTTTCTTGGCTTTTGTCAACTGAGGAGGCATTTGCTGGACTATGTCATCAGCTGGCACTGCCATATTTGTTTCACTTGTGGTGTTCTCCAGGATTAAATCGGTTTCTCCGTGTTTGGTTATGAAGGAGCTATTACTTGTCTCAGGACAGTGATTCTCAGAAACCTCATTGCTTTCTGTTTGCAAACAGGTCTGTGGAACCAGGAGCTCTAGATCATTTTTATTTCCTGTTTCTATAGACTGGGATATTTGGTAACTGTGTAGACTCCCTTGATTACTTGCATTTTCCAAAAGTGGGCTTCTTTCAGTCCTTACCAAATGTTTCATGGCCTTGTGTCTCCTTAATCCTGGCACTGTCTGGAAACACATTGAGCATATCTCACACAGATGTATATTTTTCTGCATGGTTTCTTCCTCTTGCTGGAGGGTTGCTGAGCACTGACCTTCCTCCACTGTTAGTGATTCTGTTTGGTCTGATGGTAATGGGGTTGGCTTATTCTCACAGATGATCAGTGGTTTGGGAGTGTGCTGATCATCTGATATGTCCTTTATAAAAGCAAGGGCGTTCAGCTCACTAGGGACCTTATGAATATCCATGGCCTCTGGCAGCGCCTCTGGATCCACTCCCTTTAGCAAGTCAACATGTAAGTCCAAATAATCAATAGTTTGAAGGGGAGCCGGGCAAATGTCCAAATCCTCCTTTATATTGCCAGTGGACGGAGCAGTGCTCTGAGAAGGGAGACCCAGTAAAATGGATGGACATTTTATGTCATTTTGGATGCTGCTCTTGTTCAAAGATTCATCTGGTGGACTTAGGTTGGCTGTATGGTCTGGACTCATAGGTAACTCTGTGTCTATGCCACACAGTGTTTTGTCTGATGTCAATGTCGTGTCATCACTGCACTCACAAGGTTCACAGTCATCCTTGTGGCTCTGCTTGATGGCTGGCTCCTCCTCATCCACGTTGGCTGGGGAGATAGGAGTGTAATCAAACTGACTCAGTTGTGGAGGCTCATCTGGAATGTAATTGTAGTTCAGTGGGCTTAATTTGAAATCATACAGTGATACAGAGACTCTCTTCGTAAGGGCCCCCATTGCCTCAGATTGCTCTGTTGCAATGGTCAACGGTAGAGGAGAGGGAATGCAGGCTTCAGTGCTACATATTTTGCTCTCTGTGATTCCCAAGTCCAGTTGAGGAGGACTTACTAAAGAGTACTCCATCTCAGCTGTTATGGTCAATGAGTCATCAATATGCAGTGCTTCTTTGGCATTTAGGTCATCACAATTTTCCTCATTGGGAGATTGGATTGAGGCTGGGATAGTATCTATATTATTGCATGTGATTGGCTGTGATTGTTCTTGTTCTTGTGTGTCAGGGTTCTCCACAGGTGTGTGTGGAGAAGCTGATAGAATAGGACTGTACGGAGGAGCATCCTCTGGAATAATATCCAGCCTTTCGTCCATCTGCAAATCTTCTTTGCATGGTGAGTGCTGGGGAGATGCCATGAGATGTAAGGGAACTTGTTCCTGGATGTCTTCAACATCTGAAATCTCTTCTCCTTGTCTGTGGTTAGCCTCACATTCAGGTTCCATTTCTGTTTCTTTGTCCTCATGTGTATGTTCCATTTGTGCATCACTGTCACTGTCACACTCAGCAATGACCAATGTGCTTTCATCATCTGAGTCAATGTTGGAAAAGGGTGATGTGTGGCTAGCATGCTCTGTATTGGTTTCCGTCAACAGTGGACTGCAAGGCTTAACTGCGACAGTCTCCATGAAGACATGGGGTGATTGATTGGCAATATCATTCACAGGGATGCTACACCTCAGAGGAACTGTATGGCTTATCACCTCATTCTGTATTGTACTTTTGGATTCAATGTTGTCTTCCTTCGTTACACATGCTGAACTGTCCTCCGTCTGTTCATTTGCAGATGGTGAAGGACATACACTCTCACAGTTACTTTGGACATCTATGGATTGTTCCTCAGATGCATTTTCTACCTCTTCAGGCTTATTATCCAAGTTTGCATCCAGTTCCTGCTGTGCTAGGTTAGACCCATTGGAGGGCTGGATCACAGACTTAGCATTGAGACTGATGTCCTCCACTGGCTCTACTGGCTCCTGATGCTCATCAATGGTAGTATCTAGAAGCTCTGTATGCTCAACAATGGTAGTATCTAGAAGCTCTGTGTGCTCATCAATGGTAGTATCTAGAAGCTCTGTATGCTCATCAATGGAAGTATCTAGAAGCTCTGTATTCTCATCAATGGTAGTATGTAGAAGCTCTGTATGCTCAACACTGGTAGTATCTAGAAGCTCTGTATGCTCATCAATGGTAGTATCTAGAAGCTCTGTATTCTCATCAATGGTAGTATCTAGAAGCTCTGTGTGCTCATCAATGGAAGTATTTAGAAGCCCTAGATGCTCATTAATGGTTGTATCTAGAAGCTCTGTATGCTTATCACTTATAGTATCTACAAGCTCTGTATGCTCATCAATGGAAGTATCTAGAAGCTCTGGGTGCTCAGGGAGGGCACTTTTGGCTTCAAGGATTTCATCCCCATGGTCCTCTAGCTTCTGGTTCTCACAGGTCTCCTCAATCATTGGTTGATTATCCATTTCAGTGTTTGAGCAGTAATCAGTTTCTATAACACTACTGTCTTCAGTGACATTGCTCATGATTGGGATGTCTTTGACTTCTGACCCACTGTCGTTGTTAGGTATAGACTCACTTGGCTGCAGTGAAACAATCTCTTTTACATCAGATGGGAGCTCTGTTTTTTCTGAGAGAGGAGGCCGTGACTTAACGTGTGTGGATTTAATATTTGCCTCATCAGGAATCACCTCCTTTTCATTATGATCTCTGCTTTCAGCAGTATCAGCAGATGGAGTTTGGCTTTCACTATGTAAGTGTTCTGGGCTCTTACGGGATGTGAGGTTTGGCTCCTGCTCTTCAGGTGTGATGGAATCATTTTTGAAAATGGAATCTGATATCACTTCCAGGCTTTTCATCAGGTTTTCTGCATAGGTCTTACTCTCTAGAATCTCCTCAGATTTCTCTATGTCAGTTCTATTGTCAACATCCATGTCTCCATCTCTGTGGTCCTCCTGTTTCAGTTGCTCTTTCACTTTCTCTGTATTTGAGGTTGTGGTTATCATACTGTGTTCGCGATCATCCTTTTTGCTAAATTGTTCAAGGACACTGGGTTCATCATGGGTTAGAGTATGCTGTCCCTCCATCAACTCAAACTCAAATGGACTGGACCATGGTAGACTATGCTCAGCAAAGGACTCTGAATGTGGGTCAGATGGCATAATTGACACTGCCAACGCCATGCTTTGCACAGGGCAGCCCATATCTAGACCAGTGTCTTCATTCTCAGATTCGTCGTCCAGTGGCAGAGGGGAGAATTTACTAATCTTCAGCTGCTTTGGGGACTCCTCAGTAAGCAGTGGTGGACTTAGCTTGGCTGTCTGGAGCTGATTTTCCAACTCAGTCACAATCCTCTTTATCTCTAGCTCATCTTCTGACACACAGCTGTTGAGATTTGTACTGTAGTCCATTATTTTGTCTGGCAGAGACAAAGGAACATGATTGTAATCTGATTTCTTTTCATTTAATTTATCAGAGCCGTCTTTGTATTGGGATATCTCATCTGGTAACATGGGGCTGACATCGACCATAAGGCCCCAGTCCCTCTGTTCCAAGAAAGGAGAAAGAAAGGATGATGAGCTAAACACCTCCTTTTTGTCATTGATGGTATCTAAGGAGCTGAAACCTTCTTTGTGCAATGGAACGTCAGTGTAGAGGCCATTGTCAAATCCTGCCACTGAGAGGTCCCCGAACATTGACGATGTGTCAAATGAGAGAGGAGACTTCATAAGACTCTGGTCCTGCTCTAGGGGGTATGGGATTAGATCTGATGTCTCTTTCTGTGTCAGAGGCTCCTGAAGTTCAGTTGGAGACAGGCACACTTCGTCCATGAGTGCACTGCAAAGAGGTGTGGACTTGGGGACTAAGTCATTAGTGAAAGTCATTGGCTCTTTCATTGGATGGACACTCTCATTATGTTTGTAAAATGTAGAATTGTCTGATAGCTTTGAATGCGGCTGTGTAGATTGACATCCCACGCTTTTTCGTCTTTTGTGTACTGATTTTTCCTTTGAGATGGTTTCATCTTTTTTGAATTTATTATAAGAATTTGCTTCCATGTTGTTTGTGGCAGGATGTAATGATTGAAGCTGATGTGATTTGAGATCAGAACAAATAGATTGAAAATGTATTGATTCCCCTTTGGAGATCTTGACGGCTGTCCTCAGTGGTGTGTTTTTGTCTGAACTTGCTATCATTTCTGTTTCTCTGCTAAATGAGTCATCCTTCTCCCTTGAGGACACATCTGTGCGTTTGCATTTCTCAAGATTTTTGACTGCACTCCCCACCTTTAGTAGTGCTGATACTGGATCAACATCTTCAATGTTCGAGTTAGTGATACTTGAGGCCATTGAATTGTCTTTGTTAGTAGAGAGGAAAGTCTTATCAGCGCTATACCTCTGAGTAGATTTGGTGAATGTCAGTGCTAGTTGTGTGCTAGACTCTTTGTATATCTTTTGTGGAGATCGCTCGTAGGTTCTCTGCTCGGAAGAGTCTTTCCTCCTGATCTCCATTATTTTCTCACAGTCTGAGTCTGTGCGGTCAGTGCTTTTGGGGCTGTTGATGCCATCGCTGGAGATACTCACAGACGTGCTGACTTCACTGCTAGTGGATGACCTGCTGCCTCTCCTCCGAAGTATCTGGTGAGAGCCAGATTTCTCTAGAGACAGGGAGACGTCTTCAGCTTTCTTTACCTCAAAGCACTCTTTTGACTCATGCCTCCATGCTGCACTGTTCCTGTCGCTCCTAGCCCTCCATTTGCACTCCTTTGTGTAGGTGTACTTGCAGCGGCTGCTTTGGCTCAGGCGACCTTGGCTTGCTATCTTCACAGGCTCACACTCGTCATCTGAGTCTGAGACATAGTCGTACTCCCCAAATGTAGGATTTGGCACTGTGGGCGTCAATCTCTCCATCACCAGTGAGAACTGGAGGTTTTTGGTGCCTTTTACATGGAGCTTGTGTAACTTGTTCTTCTGTTGAACTATTTTGTGGATGAGTTCTTTGCTCCAGGTACCGGCACCGGTCCTTTTCCTTTTATTCTCCCTTGCTGCAATCCTTGGGGTTGGGCAACTCCTGTTTGCAGAAGAGACTTGGGAAGAGGTTGAGCCACTCAACAAAGAGCTATCCCGGAGGCTTCGAACTCCACAACGTTCTGAAAATGTGCTGGATAAGAGGAACCTTGGAGTGTTAGTGTTTTCCTTTTCACTCTTGCACAGCTTTCTTATATCTTTCACTTTATTTTCTTGCTCCCTCGGTTTCTCCCCCGAGGCGATCCTTGAGTTTTTATGAGATACTTCTTTTTTTATGTTCATTTTCTCATCATGCTCAAAATTCAGAGGGGTCTTCTCAAGTTTGCTTTCTGTGTGGTTGTTGTCTGTCTGAAGGCTCGCTATGTCTGAGTCATAAAGATATTTTCCTTGTGTCAGAGACCTATCATCTTCAGTTGATTGTTTGCTTTTGCCCTCAAAGACCATTGAGTCTTTGGTTTTCAAAGTCTGCCTGTTTGACGATACTTTGACAGTGGCGAGGTCATCATCTGCGAATGCATCAATGAAGCTACTGTCAATCTCTGCATTGTCTGACTGATACCCCAGTCCATTTAGAGCCTCAGTGATTAGGCTATCTAACTTTGCATCCTCCATCTCCAAGTCAGGAAGAGAGACAGGAAGGTTACCTGCCCCAGAGAACAGGTTAAGTTTCATGGGGTCATCCTTAGAATCTCCTTTTGTTTCGCTGTCAGACATCAGCTCTCCGTTCTTATTGAGCCCCAGCAGAGACAGGTGAAGGTCAGATGGACACCTTGGCATGGAGATACGTTGACATAAACTGGTCCCAGAGGATGAATCTTTTGTCATGTCATTGTGAAACTGTGTTGAACTTCCTGGAGTTGTTCTGGTGTCGTCCACTTTCTGTGAAAACACATGCTGTCCACAGTATTGCTTATGGCCAAGGAATGAGGCCAGGTTAGTGAAGTTCTGATCACACTGCTTGCATGTGAGAAGCACGTCCAGTTGGTCAAGGTTTGCCGTGGCTAAAGACGTGGCTAACAGTTGATGTGCAGAGTATGGTGGTGGAGGTGGGTGGTGCTCCACCCCAAAGCCCTCCATATAGCCCTTGTTGCCATCCATACTAGGCTTTTGATGCTCGTTGTTCTGCAGGTAGCTCATCATGTCATCTTTTTCCCTCTCTGGGGCGTAAGGCAGGTTACGGGAGGCGTCTGATTGGAAATGGTGAGAGTTAGTGCTGAGGTGATCTGTGGGTCCTTGTGCCGTCAGTTGGTGCTGGTGATAAAATGGAGGGGGATGCCCAGTCTTTGATATCTGACTTTCGTCAGAGAGGTTGACAGGGCTTGTTGAGGCTGGGGAGAGTGAGGAACATGTGCTGCTAGAGGCTGGGTTATGGATTGGGGAGGGCGAGGGAGATTCATATGGTGACACCATCATAAGCCCCATTGGTGGGACCTGTAATGGTGGATATCCATATGTTCTTGATGATGACCCAGGCACTGATTGGTTCATTCCAAAATATATAGGCTTATTCTTGGACTCACAGACCTGTGCGTGACTTGTCTCAACTTTAAAATGTGCTATTGTACTGCAGCCCTGTTTGACACTCTCTTGCTTTGGGTTTGAGAAACCTTCACTAGGTCTATTGTTTTGGAAGGAGCTGGGGCTTTTCAGTGAACCATTCTTATGTGATTTAGTGTCATCCTGCCAGTCAGAGGGTGCTACCAAAAAAGTGAGCTTTTGGTTGCTGAGTTGCCTAGACAACTCAATCCTGTTTTGGTTTGGCATGACAGAAGTTAGGCGTATCTGCTGCCATGGCATCCTACTGCTTTTGGATGTGTTTGGCCTTTGATCGACGGCTGTCTGGTTCTGAAACTGAAACTTATCATTCATATTAGGATAAGCCATAGTGTTTTGGTCTGCTGGTGAAAAGGTCTTAGTCGGTCCTTCCCATGAGTGTGGTAACCTACTATGGGGCTTGGTGTTGATGCTTTTGTCAAAAGACACTGAGCCCATGTGGATGCTATTGAGTGGAGGGCTGTTGTTGTAGGCTTTGTTTGAAAAGTGCATTTGGGAGTTTGGACCTTGTGCAATATTTCTGGCATGGTGTACACTGCCTTGAATGAGTGTTCTCTGGCTGGCAGCAGCACTGTCTTTGGGGTGGCAGCTCCTCTTGCTCCCTGAAGTGAGGGCTACATCCCGATTGTCTGCCTGGCCGAAAGTGTCTGTGCTATCTGACAGGGAACTCTTACCCTGATCTGACTGCTGGGAGATAGAGCCAGAGCTCTCACTACTAGCTGAGTCCTCACTCAGGCTGCTGGTGCAGTGCATTGAGGACGCTGCCCCTTGTGGTGCTTGCAGGTACTGTGGTGGCTGTGGAGGATTGGGGTAGGAAGACCTGTCCTCTGGTTGGTCACTGTTGAATTGAGTGTTATTCTGAACCCCCTCCCGCCCCTCCTCAGATGTCTGAAAGGTAAAAGAGTTATGAGTCACCTGGGCAGGAGCCAAAGAGGAGTCTATATAGTCCTGGGATTGGGGGTTCTGATCACAGGGAAAAGGGTCTGGGTTTGAGTCTTCCAACAAGAGGTATCCGTACTGAAACGGCAAAGGCAGAAAGCTGCCATTTGCCTTGTTTGCCTCTGAGAGAACTGTGGATTTTTGTGAGGAAATCCCATAGTTAGAACCATTAAAAGTCCTCTCTGGAGACTGCCAGTCATTGGAGCCACTCAACTGAAAGTCCGGGAAGAGCAGCTGGCCGCTTGGCTGTGTGTTATTATTGTTCTCCATTGGGCCTGGTTGCTGCTGCTGCTGGGGTGGCTGCTGGTGGGTGGATGTCCCACCTGTGATTCCCGGTGCCTGTGAGGTATAGCTTGGGAAGGCGAGATTGGAGGAGGTCTCCTGGAAGCAGCGGCTGTAGTTGAGCTCCTCCTGCTGCAGCTCGGCCTCTCGCTCTGGTATACTGGGCACGTGGAACCTGTAGCTGCCCGACACAGGGCCTCGGCTGGCCTCCAGCTTCTTGGGTGGCGAGACCTTCTGCTGTGGGTAGGCGATGCCGATAGTAGGGTTAGAGCGTGGGTTGATGATGCTGAGTCTGTATAGCTGCTGTGGGTTACCGCGCTCTGACTTCCCTGACCGCTTGCCCTTGTCTCGGCTCCGGTTCTTTCCGCTCGGGGACTGGGGGCTGCCCTTGCCACTGGGCCACGTCCTGTTGCTGGCGAACTTAGGCTTGTTCTGAAGTGACTTGAAGTCTATTTTCCCCGCCTGCTGAGGTCGGATCACAGCCTCGCGCTGCTGAGTATAGTCCCTGTCCTTGTCTACAAACTTGGCCCCTCTGCTGATTGTCCGCTCCTCCACGTCCGCAATTGAGAAGTGCTCTGAAGATTCTTTTGTAGCTTTCTCACTGCTGCTGTACTGCTCCAGTGCAGTGCCCTCATCCTGCAGTTTGGACTCAGCGTCCAGCTTTTTGACAGCGTACGTGCGCTGAGTCTCTCCTGCCATGGTGCAGGCGAGGCTTGCTGTGCAGGCCTGGTCCTCAGATGTGCTATCTGGGAGGCAGAGGCATGATGAATCTGGGAGTCTGGATCAATACGCTGCTTCCATTGGCACAAACGGCAGGGATGGGAGTGCGGCTCTCTGCGTGATTATCTCTCCGCTCTCATCGTGGACCACCAATCTGGCAGTTTACCGTCTGGGAGTCCTGCAGAGACAGAGAGGAGAAAGAGGGGGTCAGATTTCTGAACCATATTTCACATAGTAAGCTGCATTTCATTAAAAAAGCAGGACAATTGCCATTCTAAACGCATTTCAATAAATTGATGTTGTATTAAGAATAAAATGCTTCCTCCTGAATAAATAAAATAATAGTAATAAATCATTGACCAGCATCCATTCATTCATTCATTCATTCATTCATTCATTCATGTATATAGTTACACAACTATTTGTAGAACAAAGAATAGTACAGGTACATAAGTCAGCAGGGATATTTGCTTTACTAAACCAACAGAGTAGGATGGGAGGTGAGTGATTCAGTGAAAAGCTGTTTTCCAGCTGTTGCCAGGAGAGAGCAGTATTGCCACAGTTTTGCCTCAGTACTGCCACTCAAGGCACAAAGACACAGTGTACAGTAAAACCCTTTTTAAGTTGTCCAGATACATCTGAAAACCACAACAACAATTCAACTGTTATCACTCAGTGCACTGTCATGGTCAATAGATATAAAACTCATATAGCTATGATATAGATCAATATACTTTTATCGACAAGGCTTGCCTTTGTGCATACCATAAGATAGTGCCTACTGAGTGGATCTGACTGGAATACATACTATCACAGAAGGTATATCACACACAAAACGTATTGCAAAAGCTGAAACACATCTGACTATGTTACTGTAACAGTGTGCTCTTGTTCTGACGAACACTGTGGGTTCTGAGGAGGAAGAGGATTCAATGCTGGACACACATTGCCAATGAGTAATCATGTAAAAGCCCCAAAGAACAGCGACACAATGCTAGACTGTTTGGCCGGTTGAGGAGGGACGCAGGTTTAGATCATGGAGCAATATCAGGGGATTAGTCAATAGGCCTTTAGACAGTGAGAAGGGCAGGGGACGCTTACATTTGTTGCCTTTCCCTCAGTTATCCCAGACACTGTTTATATTCTGGTTTACTTTGGCCCTCCACTGCTTCATTTGAGGTCAGACCAGCAACAGCTCAGAGTTAGTGGCAGAATGTCATTTCTGGGCCTGTTAGCCAAGAAGCCCCCCACATCTCCTCATCCTCCTCCTCCTTCCCCCCTATCTAAGCCAACATTTGATTTTAGTGACAGAGGGAGGAAAATGCTGCGTTTGTGTGCTGTGAAGTGGTGCCCCGCCCCGTCCTAGGTGAAGTCTGTGACTCTCCTGCTCCCCAGCGGGGTACCTCAGACAGCTGGCGAAAGTCACACACATTCCCATGGTGACTGACTGCGTTTGCTCTTTGTACTTACAAATCATTTGGGGACAGGGAGAGAAAATAATCACACACCAAACAAAAAGGCAATGAATGTGGGTATTTACCCATTCAAATACTGTAGCTCACGGGCCCTCTTGATGAACAGTCCTGTTCATCAAAACTGTTATTTTGCCCGGCAAGATCATTTCTTTGGGCCATTAACACATTTATTATTTCCCTTTCACTAAATAAGTAAGTAAGAGCAGCTGAAATGGCCAGTAAGTAACGTTAATAGTTGCAGATGATTGGTTAAAGGGAGGCAAAAAAAAGTTTAATGAGATAATGTAAACTGTAAAATCCACTCAAAAACTATATTTTGGTATTTATTTTGTTATTCCACTGTTGATACAGTCCCAAAATGTTTTGCATGTTAGCAGTCAAGTTTTCAAGACATTGGACTTTCAAGAAGCAAAGCGTCACCGGCCACATCATGATGATGCGTTTTGCAAAAGCTTGACCTCATCTTCAGACATAATGTTGTTATGGAGCCGCCCGGGGTTGCATTAACACCTACACTTGCTTTAGGTCTATTCCTGTGTGTGTGTGTGTGTGTCTCTCTGTGTGTGTGTGTCTACACGTGTGTGTGTGTACATGTGTGCATGTGCTCGAGGGTGTATGTGTTTGTGTATGTGTGTGCAAGAAAAAAATTTTTTTAGTCATTTATCCAGAGCGACTTACAGTTAGTGAGTGCATACATACATTTTTTTTCCCATTGATATATGACTTGATTTAATTACCCTATCTCTCTGTCTCACATATGCACACTGACAAAAACAAACACACATGCACACACAGTACAGTGCAACCCATAATTAGGGATGCCTGGCTTTCCCTGCCCTGTAACCAGCAGGCCTATTGACCTACATGGCCCTGTGACACGGATGGCTCTATCCCTGTATTTCTAACAGCACAGCCCTGCCCTGTAATTACAAAGCTCTGACAATGGCTGGGGATGGGCGTGGTGGCCGTACACAGAAGGAGAGAGTAGGAGGAGGGACAGGGAAAGACCACTTTCATTAGTAGAATGGCTCTCCAAATGCAGCGGACTGGGGCAGACCACTTTCACTAGCAGTATGGCTCCTCCAGTGAAGGCTGTACCTCTAGTGAGAGGAATTCCTATGGTTTATCTCATTACAACAGCACCTAAGTTCTATCCAACTTTCCTTTTTATTCATTATTTTATCGCACTTTTGCGTGGTTTCACAATTTTGTTTGTGTTTTTTTCTATTTGTGTTTGATGCCTGTATATAGTTGCATCTAAATAATCTGCAATCCAAATCCAAAAATCAAAACAAAGGTATCTTGTTTATATAGCCTATTCGCATAGGACAGAGACTGACTTTAAACAGTCAGAATATATCTCCTCTCTCCGCTAATGCACAAATACAAAAGCTTCTGATGTCGGTCCACCACCTAAAGCTCAACCTCGACAAGACGGAGCTGCTCTTCCTCCCGGGGAAGGCCTGCCCGCTCCAAGAACTCTCCATCACAGTTGACAACTCCACGGTGTCCCCCTCCCAGAGTGCAAAGAACCTTGGCGTGACCCTGGACAACACACTGTCGTTCTCTGCAAACATCAAAACAGCGAGTCACTCCTGAAGGTTCATGCTCTACACCATCCGTAGAGTACGACCTTTCCTCACACAGGAAGCGGTGCAGGTCCTAATCCAGGCACTCGTCGTATCCTGTCTGGACTACTGCAACTCTCTATTGGCTGAGCTCCCCGCTTGTGCCATCAAACCCCTGCAACTTATCCAGAACACTGCAGCCTGCCTGGTGTTCAACCTTCTCAAGTTCTCCAATGTCACCCCGCTCCTCCGTACACTCCACTCGCTTCTAGTCGAAGTTCACATCCACTACAAGACTATGGTGCTTGCCTACGGAGCAGCAAGGGGAACTGCCTCTCCCTACCTTCAGGCTATGATCAAACCCTTCATCCCAACCCGAGCACTCCATTCTGCCACCTCTGGTCTCTTGGCCTTCCCACCCCTACTGGAGGGCAGCTCACGATCAGCACAGTCAAAGCTCTTCTCTGTCTTGGCATCCCAATGGTGGAACCAGCTTCCACTGATGCTAGGACAGCAGAGTCCCTGTTCATCTTCCGAAAACATCTGAGAAAGAGATACCTAGTCAGTTGCACAACTGAATGCATTCAACCGAAATGTGTCTTCCGCATTTAATACAACTCCTCTGAATCAGAGAGGTGCAGGGGGCTGCCCTAATCGACGTCCACGGAGCAGTTGTTGTTTCAGGTTAACTGCCTCGCTCAAGGGAAGAATGGCAGGTTTTTTCCACCTTGCCAGCTCGGGGTTTCGAATCAGCAACTTTTTGGTTACTTTCCCAACGCTAGGCTACCTGCCGCCTACCTCTTCAAAAAGTATTTATAATAAGCCATCTCAGTCTTATCCCCTTGCACTTGTCTTTTCCTACTAGCACTAACTTTGCTGATAACTTCTTCTTTGTTGCTACGACTTTGATATGTGATTGTCTCACCTAGCTATCTTAAGATGAATACACTCTGGAGTTTCTGCTATATTATTAAAATATAAATGTAAATGGATCCCACAGAAATCTGTTAAACTGAAACAGACAACAGGGCATGAGGAGACTAGCCTGAGGCCGGATTATACAATATTGCCCCAAAGTGCCTAGAAAAGTCTTCTGAATTCTTCTGGGAAATTCCACTGAATTTGTTAGGTAATGAATATCCCTTTTCCCGTGCCAGTACATACAGTATGCAACCGTTACAAATAGACTCAAATTCATTCCATTGGCTCGCGTGTGAATTGGGAACAGCCTAAAGCCTATATTTGTAATGTGTACAAATGAGTCTTTACATCTGCCAGGAGACACACCCACATTCCTTCCCTTCAGATCCTATCAGATCATCTCAAATCAAATCAAAACAAATTTGATTGGTCACATACAGGTGTTTAGCAGATGTTATTGCGGGTGCAGTGAAACGCTTGTGCTTCTAGCTCCGACAGTGCAGTAATATCTAACAAGTAATATCTAACAATTTCACAACATATACCCAATACACACAAATCTAAGTAAGGAATTAATTAAGAATATATACAGTACCAGTCAAAAGTTTGGACACACCGACTCATTCAAGGGTTTTTCTTTATTTGTACTATTTTTTACATTGTAGAATAATAGTGAAGACATTAAAACTATGAAATAACACATATGGAATCATGTAGTAACCAAAAAATTTTTAAACAAATCAAAATATATTTTATATTTGAGATTCTTCAAATAGCCACCCTTTGCCTTGATGACAGCTTTGCACACTCTTGGCATTCTTTCAACCAGCTTCATTTGATTTGTTTAACACTTGTTTGGTTACTACATGATTCCATATGTTTTATTTAATAGTTTTGATGTCTTCACTATTATTCTACAATGTAAAGAATAGTAAAAATAAAGAAAAACCCTTGAATGAGTAAGTGTGTCCAAACTTTTGACTGGTAGTGTACATATATGGACGAGCGATGTCAGAGCGGCATGGACTAAGATACAGTAGAATAGTATAGAATACAGTATATACATATGAGATGAGTAATGCAAGATCTGTAAACATTATTAAAGTGGCTAGTGTTCCATTTCTTAAAGTGACCAGTGATTTCTAGTATATGTCTATAGGCAGCAGCCTTTAATGTGCTAGTGATGGCTGTTTAACAGTCTGATGACCTTGAGATAGAAGTTGTTTTTCAGTCTCTCGGGCACAGCTTTGATGCACCTGTACTGACCTCGCCTTCTGGATGATAGCGGGGTGAACAGGCAGTGGCTCGGGTGGTTGATGTCCTTGATGATCTTTTTGGCCTTCCTGTGACATCGGGTGCTGTAGGTGTCCTGGAGGGCGGGTAGTAATGCGTTGTGCAGACCGCCCCACCCTCTGGAGAGCCTTGTGGTTGTGGCGGTGCAGTTGCCGTACCAGGCGGTGATGCAGCCCGACAAGATGCTCTCAATTGTACATCTGTAAAATTTTGTGAGGGTTTAGGGGCCAAGCCACATTTCTTTAGACTCCTGAGGTTGAAGAGGCTCTGTTGCACCTTCTTCACCACACTGTCTGTGTGGGTGGTCCATTTAAGTTTGTCAGTGATGTGTACGCCAAGGAACTTGAAGCTTTCCACCTTCTCCACTACGGTCCCGTCGATATGGATAGGGGGGTGCACTCTCTGCTGTTTCCTGAAGTCCACGATCATCTCCTTTGTTTTGTTGACGTTGAGTGAGAGGATATTTTCCTGGCACCACACTCCCAGAGCCCTCACTTCCTCCCTGCAGGCTGTCTCGTCATTGTTGGTAATCAAGCCTACTACTGTTGTGTCGTCTGCAAACTTGATGATTGAGTTGGAGGCGTGCTTGGCCATGTAGTCATGGGTGAACAGGGAGTACAGGAGTGGGCTGAGCACGCACCCTTGTGGGGCCCCAGTGTTGAGGATCAGCCAAGTAAATAATAATAAATAATATGCCATTTAGCAGACGCTTTTATCCAATAGCGACTTACAGTCATGTGTGCATACATTTTTACGTATGGGGTGGAGGTGTTGTTTCCTACCTTCACCACCTGGGGGCGGCCCGTCAGGACGTCCAGGACCCAGTTGCACAGGGCGGGGTTCAGACCCAGGGCCTCGAGCTTAATGATGAGCTTGGAGGGTACTATGGTGTTGAATGCTGAGCTATAGTCTCAGAAAGGCCATCTCTCATACCATTAGTGCTGATATGCCTGACAGTGACGCACGCCCCCATGAACTCTGCGGGCACCACACTAGCACGGGAGGAAACATTTATTTAAATGTTTTATTTTCACATACATCGGATAGGTGCAATGAAATGTGTTGTTTTACAGGGTCACCCCCTGAAGCAAATTAGGGTTAAGTGCCTTGCACAAGGGCACATCGATAAGAAAACCAAATAAGATCATGATGAAATATTTATGTGATGAAATGCAGTTATGTCTCAGTACTAGTTGGCTTATGCCCTTGGGGGCGTCACTAGGAGAAACTGTGTGGTGTGTTGACTGCTTTACAGTGGGAGCAGGACTGTAAGTAACATAGGTGACTATTATTCAGCCTGGGGTCATGGCCCTGTCTCTACTACAGAGAGGAGGAAAGACACACCAGGTGAGAGAGGTGAATCTGGATGGTACATACCCACAACCAGGACCAGAGGTGAGCACCAGGGTTGCATTTAGATTCCATTCAATAGAGGAGATTCACTGGATTTCTATTTATTTTCAGTTCTTCATGGAAATGTCATTTCCCTTCCTGTATTGACTGTACTGAAATGGATATGACCCCCAACCCTGGTTTAAATTCCTCTGTCTGTAAGACAAACGCAGTGGTGAGTTAAGGCCCCACTAAATGTGGAAGCCCCTCTATGCAGCCAGGCCCTGAGTGTTACTGTTAGGTCACTGGTATGTGTGTTTCCCTATCGCCCAGCCTGGTCCAGCCAACCTCTGAGTGGTATTTAGCAGGTTGGGAGAGAAGGCCGGGGGTCTGTGGTCCTGGCTGGGTTGGGGCCTGGCTGTGAAAAGTCACATCCCCTCTTCAGCTCGACAGGGCTCTGAAAGCCAGTGTCTACTGTGTCTGCCGTGTTCTCCGCCAGCGGTTGGCCGGATGGGTGCAAATCGGCCCTATTGAAAACTCCCCCCAACTGGCCTCACAGTGCTTGATCTGGCCCTGAAGGGTCTGGACGGTCAACAGCCAAACCCATACATTATGTCCTTGTCTGGTGTTTGCCCCTGGGTTTGCACAGTGGGGATGAGAGGGTGCGGACAACACGGGACTCCGACAACAAAGAGAGCAGTGGCCTCACAGAAGTAGCACTCGAGTCCGAGCTGTCAGTTCACAAAGAGGACGGACTCATTTATATCTTTACAACTGCCTGGTTGACTTCCAGGGCAGGACCTGACCAGCACACCAACCCTACTCCATCCACAATCCACAGTCAGTCAGTCTCCTTTCAGGCTCAGAATGACTTCACACACCAGGTTTACACATATCAATCTGCCAATGCATCTTTGATACGCTTTTCTTTTTTTATCCAATATAAGTATAAAGTGGTCATGAATCGGGAATAACGGCAGGGTGGCTGTGACAGAATTGTTAGCCGGGCAAATATCAAATCCTGTGTGACTGGTCCCATAAAAATACATTTGTGGGTTTTACAAGTCAATTCAGTCAGTGTGGGTGTGTTCTGCAGGCCTGGTGTCAAATCATTAAGCCTCACCACCATCAACAGCAGCAGCAGCAGCAGCAGTAGCTCCCCATATGGAAGCACCGTACCATAACACCACCCAGACACTATAGTGCTGAGGGTGGGAGCTCAGATGTTTGGTGTGTGTGTTCAAAGCCCCTTATTCGTGTCCTTTTTATGCATGACTATCTGTGTATGTGTGTCATTCAGTCAGAACAATAGAGTGTACTTCTGTTTGTATGTCTGTGCGTGTGTGAGCGAGACAGACAGAGATAGACACACAGAGAGAGAAAGATAGTCTCAGTATTTACGTGAGCGAGAGTATTTATGTGGGTATGACTCAGGACTAGGTAGACAGTGATCCTCTGTAGCTCAGTTACTAGAGCATGGAGCTTGCAACTCCACATAGTGGGTTTGATTCCCGGGACCACCCATACTTAAAAATGAATGCCAGCATGACTGTAAGTCACTGTTTTCCTCCTCTCACAGCAGAAGGGGAGTGAGTGGGGGAAAAGTTAAAACTCCTGCCGAGTGAATTTCCTGAACGTCTTTCCCTTGTCGTTCTGGTGCAGGATGTATGTGGTGTAGGTTGAAGTGAAAATACGCTGGTAGCACTTTTATCCATCCATCACATCAGTGGCTTCAGCCCATAATTGTTTAGCAGTTTCTATTTTCCAAGAGGCCTCAACCCCCCCATGAGATCCATATCTCCCAAGGTCTGTCAGCTCAAGAGACTGTGCACAGAACACTTCTTTCCCAGTAAAATCTGTCTATGAGCATTTAGCTAAGATTTCATAATGCAGAGTAATGTACAGAAATGTACAGTAAAATTGGACTCTTTCACAGACATAGGGTCTATTTATAAAATTGTATCACCACAGTAAAATTGCCACCTTTTTTAAATGCATCATACTAGAGGTGATAGGTTAAGTAAACCCTATTCAATTTCAGTTTAATTCTATATTGACAATTTTATTCGGTCCAATGTCATCTGTGATTACTATCGCCTGCCACAGGCTGTGGGAAGAGACTACTTAAGATAAATGCTATTTTCCTAGCGATGTCTATAGGGCTTTATGACAATAGGATAGGATGGGGCCTTTGGTGAGGCATTACCACCAAAGACTGAGTGGTATACCAGGCAGAGACATACCATTATGCAAGCCACACACACACGCACACGCACACACGCAAACAGTAGACTTAGCGCATACATTACTACAGCCAGTGACCCCCAGAGACAATGAGTAGTGCCAGAGCCAACGGAAGGTTAGCCGCCAGCAGAGCAGTCCACTTCTACACACAAAGGCTCCCTTTATGACAATGTAAATCAACAAGCAGAATTAGGTAGCATTTCCCAAAAATGTCACTTTTTCCAGACGCTGCCTGTAGTGAAATATCACCTCACAGTAGCCTCCAAGACCTGAGTCAGAGCAACGTGGAGAGAAAAGGAGAGGAGAGGAGAAGAAACAAGGAGAGAAGGAAGGGGCAAGAAGAAAGACAAAGAACAGAGAAGAAGCGAGAAGAAGAAAGAGTGAAGAGGTCGAAAGGAGGGGATGAATGAGGAGAGGAGATGAGATGAGACAAGAAGAGAAGAATGAGAAGGAGAGTGAATCTACAGGAAGTAACAAAGTCGCAAAGGAGGTAGAGAAGGAGTTAGTGTGTGTCTTTGTGCGTCTAAGGAGGAGCTCAGTACGCAGGTAGTGTATGCGTTTGTCTGGGCGCTAGCTGGGCGCTATGAGCTGAGGGATGCAGAGCTGGGGATCGGGTAGCAGCAGAGAAAGCAGGCTGACTGCTCTCCTCACACCTCTCCCAGTGGCAGTGTGACGAGCCCAGCCAGGCGCAGCCTCAGCCTCGGGGAACGGAATGCTCAGCAGCTAGCGAGAACAGCTGGCGCAGGGCCAATAACTGGCCAGGCGCTGGGCCAAACCCTCAGTCAGTGGGCCTGCCTACTCTCCTATATTTTTGGAAACATCCATTATCCAAGCAATTTGCCTTAAAGGTCTCCTTCATGCTTGTGCTGCTTTGAAGGCAGTACTGGGGAAGAAGACACACACATATATATATATATATATATATATATATATATATATATATATATATATATATATAATATGTCAGCATTTTGAGGATTGTGTGGAAAAGAGAAATGTCAGCATAGTTGGGATTGGGATTGTGAGGAGAACCCAGGCAACACTGATTAGACAAGGTGAGAAAAAGCCCTAATACTGACACATAGTAATTATACACCCGCCGCTGTAGTTAGCTAGCTTTGATAGGTTTGTTAGCGAGCGTTTTGGATGTTAGACGTGTCAACACGGCTGTTGCCTGTTTAATTTATTTAATGTTTTTTTCTTTGTTATTTAGCAGTTAATTTGTCACACTGCCTTGTTGTGGGTGACGTTTTTGTCAGTTTTCAGGAGAATATTTTAGGGATGCCATAGAAACCAAGGTGAGGGTGAAATGAAACAGGGAGAAACATTGGAGGCTTGTTTTTCTCTAGTCTCTCCACGTCCCTCCTCCATCCCACCAGCCCCCCCACCAAAACCCCAAATGTGGTTAGCTTCACAGTGGGGGAGATGGTAAGAGAGGAAGGGTGTGTGTATGTGTTTGTGTATGTGTGTGTGTATGTGTGTATGTGTTTAGTTATTTTCTAACTGCTGGATTATTTTATTTTTTGGGACACAATTTCACTAATTTCTACAAGGCAGTGGAATATTACTCATGTGTGGCGGTTGGTCGGAGAGAGAAACTGATGGGAAAAGCGTGCGATATAAACCTTGGATGACTGCACATACAGGATATTACTACGGGCAAAGTAGACAACGGTTATTGACTCCGGCCCATAGCCGTGATAACCTAACCCTTAATGAACAAAGTCCTCTTTCAGAGATCCCTTCCAAATTAATGGTCACCCTCCAACATTCCTAATTTCAGCATATCAATATTTGCTAGTCCATACTTCTAGCTAGGTCAGAGGATTTGGTTGCTGCTCAAATGGAGCAACGTTTAATTAGCTGTAAAAGAAGCTTTGCTGAGCAGACAGAAAGAGAGAGAGAGCGAGAGAGAGAGAAAGAGGTGTATTTATTAACGATAGTCATCTGTAACCCCAGCCATAATGACATCAGTCCATCAGCTATGTCTATGCATGAGTGTGTGTGTGTGTGTGCGAGTGCGTGCGAGTGTGTGCATGCATGTGTGTGTGTGTGTGTTTGTGTTTGTGTGTGTCTGACCACGAGTGTGTTTATGTCAATGTGTATAATCGGCTACGGCTAAATATAACTGAATAAACTGACGATTTATATTGAAGCTCAGACTTACTTCAAGTGGAAGATATTTGGAAAGTAAGGACACACTCCAACAACATTTTCCTGACCTGGCCGCACACCTGACCACACATCACAAGAGACCGTTATATATCGCTTGACCCTTCATTAATAAAGCATTGGTTAAGTGGACTTCTCAAAGTACACTCCATTTAGTTGCCCTCAATTGATTGGAACAATATTGAGTCTAGGTCTAGGTTTATATATGTACCCACCACATACACACGTAAACAGGAGAACCGTATCCTGAATCCTCAGTATTTGTTAGGAAATCATAAAATAGCAGAAGTATTTACACTGAAAACTTCTAATGGGAGCAGTACGATGCTGTAAAACTTAAATCTATGTCAGAATCACAACTCAATCATTGCCTTATGACCTTAATGAGAAGCAGAAAGTGTTCTTTGAAGCACCGACTACCCATTTCAAGTAAGTTTGAGTGAAAAAATAAAAAATAAAAAATAAAAGTGTCGCCCCCACACAAATCCTTAGGAAAACAAAGACTGGAAAAAGTGCATTTTTCTCTCTCTCTCACACACGAACATGCGCACACACTTGCGTGCATGCACGCGTGCACACACACACACACACACACACACACACACACACACACACACACACACACACACACACACACACACACACACACACACACACACACACACACACACACACACACACACACACACACACACACACACACCTTGGGCCAGAGGGAAAGGCCAGTGAGGCCACTGAGAGCTAGGAGTCAGGAGATAGGGCCTGCTGGAGCAGGGAGCAGACCTGCCGACCTACAAATCAGAGTGTCAGCGCCCGGGGTAGACAGAGCCCTCCTGAGCCCAACCTTAGTGACACATTATTAGGATAGGAATTTCTAAATATGATAAATAGGCTACATATAGATTTCACGTTCCTACAGTATATAGTCACTAATGACTATACATTAAAATGTATTGAGTACGTGATTTGGGTCTTGGTGCTTTTACATCCTATAATCAAGTCTTATCCTGTTCGGGTGGAATTTGTAATCGAGTCTTGATTCGTGGCACTCGTACGCAGTAGCTCAGAGGCACTAACATTAAGGAGGAGGATAGGATAATATAGCAACACCCATGCCTGGGACTTTGTGAGGCTCGTTAATGATGGCGCTCTGATTGCATCCATGCCTCCGGTGTTCCCAGTCGGGGGAAAACATCTGCTGGTGTGGAAGGCTGGGATGGGACAGGTTGGAAACGGTTACATCATAGTGAGGTGAACTTGGATTCCAGAAGGGAGGGAATGTACAGGGAGTTTTGTAAGAGCTTAAAGGGCCCTGCCTGCAGGCCACATTCATGACCTTTGACCCCTAGGGTCGGCCCTTTGCTCATGACTGACTGGCCGTGAGGGAGGGAGGAATCAATCCACATATCCACCAACCAGGTAGAACATTGAGTGTCAACATGTACTTTGGACAGGGTGTTCTCTACAGAGACCAAATGCCAAATGCATACGTTTCATTAGGTTAGTTGGGTAACACCTGAGTCCCTCTAAGCCTGCAGGTGGAATGTTTCTTAACTTGTTATAAGCATGTAGGAGAATTCCGTTTGTTCATTTACATATATGTCATACTCTCTCAAAACAGGCTACTCCATCAAAGCCAAAAGGTGCGTATTTTATTGTCTAAAAGTCTTGTGCATGTGAATGCAAAAGTACACACATATTACTGAATGGGCTTTTAATGTGGGTTAATGTTTGGCAGCATGAGAGCGGGAGCGTGTGAGTGTGTGTGTAAGAGTTTCTGTCTGCGAATGAGTGAGTGTACGTGTGCACATGCATGTGTGTGTGTTACAAATTTCCTGCTTTATGACTATCTTACAGCCCTTTCTCAGACACAACCTTACTAACTTTCTCATCTTTGCAGTAGGCTAGGGGTCATAACGTCATAAACGGTCCATTCACACCTAGGGCCCTGCTCACTGATTGGTTGACAGGGCAGTTGTTAGGGCGGTTGGTAGAGGGCTGGACATCAGCTCTGTCCTGCACAACAACAACTGGACTCATTCATATATCCTGCACATGTGGGATGGTGTGCGTGTATAAAGTGAGTTGTGTATATGTGTATATTACTGCTAGTTGTTCAGCAGCATTTCAGCTTATATTTCTATATCGTCTTTTGCCATTTGTTACTGCTCTATTCTGTAAGGTTCTGTATCTGTGCCTCTTGTTTTCTCCTGTTACAGAACCACTACCATTCCACTACCTTTCCATGTACCTTTCATCTGTGTGTGTCAATAAAGTATCCTTGTGTGTAACTCTGAGATTGCCTCATTCCCTTACCGCGGGAGGTGCTAGTGGGTTACAGATCAGCCTAAACGGAGTCGCTGTCTTTCAGTGTGTGTGTACTGTACATGCATGAATGACAAGAGTGTGTCCGGACCTCTGTAGATGAATTTTAAAAGGTGGAAGACAAATATGGCTAAAGGGCACGGGACAGGATGGCTCACAGACAGACAGCCCAAGGGAAAGTGGATTGGCTGATTGATGGACAGGAAGTCCTACATTTATAGCCCTGGCACCTCATGCACTGTTATCAATACAGAGGGAAACTACTAGTCTGAGACCGTGGCTGTGTCCCAAATGACCTGGTCTGTGTCCCAAACTATATAGGAAATAGGGCCCTGGTTAAAAGTAGTACACTTACATTTGGGACACAGGCCAGGTCATGGGGGGAGGTGGAGCAGGCGGAGCAAAGAATAGTAGCACAGAAAAATGACCTCTCCCTACCTCTCTCTCCCTCTCTCTCGCTCTCAAGCCTTGTCCTACTTTATCCTTTGCTTCCTCTCTTGTCCGTACAGTATTATACAAATCCATGTCTCTTCCCTCCTGCCGCTAGCCACATGCTGTTTTCTGGGATAAACCAGGCCGCTGGGTATAAATGGAACACCTTATTTTAGTGGAATTTTTCTCTACTACTACTCCTCTGCTTACAACAATAGAAATAGAGTTGGTCTGTTCTAGTCATCGTATTTCTATGGGCTCAACACACATCCAAGGCTTTTTCTCTGCTTCAATTAAAGAAGAAGATAAAGATAGACAGTGTTCCGCATTAGGTCACAGGAGTGGAAGGGCAGTTGGGGGTCGATGCCGGGAGGAAGGAAAATGTTTTTAAATGAGTTACGATGAACGTTGAGAGTTGTAGTGATTTGGTTGACAGATGGGGCCTGCTGAACACTGGGGGCAACCATGTAAAACTTTAAGGAACTTTATGGATAGGACGACGTCAGGTAGGTTGGGTTGTATGTTTAAGGTTTAAGAAGTAGTTGAGGAGGTTCACTGGGTGGGGCAGGTCTGCTATTTAAGGTAAAGGAAACAATTTTCTGTCGTTACCGGTTGTGCTACCTTGCAGTACAACTAAGGTGCGTGAATAAATATCTGAGAGAGTTAACAGTAACAATAAAGTTGTTTTAATACGAACTTCAATTTTTTCTCCAAGAGAGGTTATATGACTCCTACATACTCAGTGCTGTTTAGAGCAGGCAGGGGTGTCCAACAACATAACACTGCATGCCAACTTTAAAACGGTAACACACATATTAGAGTCAAAGCTGAGTGTCAAAATGCAGTCAGTAATCATTATTCTATTTATTTGTCACATTCTATTCCAATTTGCGTCGTTCTCCTGGCCAAAGAGAGGGAATTCCAGGAACTGAATGTGTGAGTCACTTTGTACCAGCATTTTCCTAATTTACCCTGCTTGCCTGCCTGCCTTGAAATAGTCAGAGGAAGCGTCGAAACAACCTCATTACGACTCAATATTTTCTAAGTATGTCAACGCATGATGTTGTATTCCAAAAATGCACCTGTAAAAAATTAAACCCTGGTAACCCTTCAGAGGTGTTTTTCTTTTGTTTGGTCTGTAGTTTTTCTCATAGTGGGACGGTGAGCGATGAGTCTGCGGTTTGTCTTTGTGTCTGTGTTTTTGTCTGTTTCTGTCTGTTGAGTCTGGGTCTTGAGAGGTAACCTGGACTGGGCAGACATTCAAAGCCTAGCTGAATGCTGAGCGCTTTGCCAGAGGCATGGACTTGACCAGGTCAGTTCATAACACTTTCATCTGCAGGTAACTGCCAAAATAAAGGAAACACCAACATAAAGTGTCTTAGAGTCAATGTCCATGCCCCCGCAGACATCTAATTAGCATGATAAAAAAATCAAAATCGGTCTATTTAAGCTAGAGAGATCTGTTTTACATGGGCTGCGTCTCCATCCACCGCATCGGCCGATGTCGGCCTTCTGCATCTGCGGATGAAGGTGGCAGAGCTACAGCAGTGTTTGTCAGACCAGGAGACATCCCAAAAATTGTTCTTCTCACAAAAACGTCTCTCACGAACACAATGGTGTTTTCCGTTTTGCTGCAAACCCCACAAGCATCACGGGACTTGTCTGAAGTCGGTACCGCCGATATACCAACTTCTTTCTGTAGCGTCCAAACATTTGTACACAATAATATGACCCCACCATTGAAAGGTGAGACTCTCAGAAAGACATACTGTACATGTCGGTTGTTTTGCCCTAGGCTGCACACAAGCCTCACAAGACTCATCTGCAGGTAGCCCGGTACCAGTTAATTTTTTTAATGGAAGTACAGTATAGATGGAAATACTTTTGTGCCCAAAAAATGTTTTACTCCCTGTACATGTTAAATATGGTTGCCATGTATGAATATGTTATTCAATGCGTTTCTATGGGTAAGTAAGTAAGTAAGCAGTAAGGCCAAATTCAATGTTTAATCAAATAATTGTTTTTTGTTTTTTTATATATATATATATATACTTACAGGGGTCCTAAAATTCAAAATCAAATAGCTAAAGTATCCTTGGTATGACCATCTTAAAACAATTTCTTATGTTAGCTTAGTAGAAATTGAGCCCAGGGCCGTTCGGTCACCACGAGCCGCCAGAACAGCTTCAATGCGCCTTGGCATAGATTCTACAAGTGTCTGGAACTCTATTGGAGGGATGCGACACCATTCTTCCACAAGAAATTCCACCATTTGGTGTTTTGTTAATGGAGGTGGAAAACGCTGTCTCAGGCGCCGCTCCAGAATCTCCCATAAGTGTTCAATTTGGTGACTGAGACACACACACACCCTTTAAACCCCATATGCTCTGTGAGATCCCTCTTTCAAAGTCACTGAGATCTCTTCTTCTAGTCATGTTAGCCAAAATAATGGGCAACTGGGCGTTTTTATACATGACTCTGAGCATAATGGGATATTAATTGCTTAGTATATTCCTTCAATTTACTTTGTATCCCTCATTTACTCAAGTGTTTCCTTTATTTTGGCTGTTACCTGTATGTCACAAGACTCTGTCTTACATTTTAGCAGATGCTCTTATCCAGAGCGACTTACAGTTAGTGAGTGCATACATTTTCATACTGGCCCCCCGTGGGAAACAAACCCACAACCCTGGCGTTGCTTGCGCCATGCTCTACCAACTGAGCTACAGGGGTAGTCTTGGTAGTACAGTCTTTCTCTGTCCTCCAACATAGTTTGGTCTGGTCGCTCTCTCAGCACCCGCATATTCTAGCCACTGTTTAAAAATCTTCCCAGTGTGAAATAGTTCCCAATCGTTCTGATTGTGTTCTGATTGTAATGTCATGTTGTAAAATTTCTCACAGCATGAAAATGTTCCCAGTTCAATAATTGCACGCGTCTCTTTATGTGGATGACTGAGCTCGTGCGGTTGTCTCTCTCTCACACCCTCCCTCACAATTGACTTACCTGTTTGTATAGCTAAATAGCCAAAGTATAAACTGTTTCACATCTCCATTGACATTGACATTTTGATAACCAAATGTATTGAGCTAGCTATATGCCATTCCATGTATCACATGATACAATAGCTAGCTAGCTAGCTAGCACAACTAACTTGCTCATTACATTTCTCATCAGCTAGCTAGCTGATAACATTACCCACTGTCTCTCACATTACCCAAAGCCAACATTACCATAGTTGCCTCTCTGCTGGAGCAATCCTTGAGTGGAAACTAAATGGCAGCACTGCAAATAAATGCAATGCTAATTTGTGGTAAAGCCAAATCAACTATCAACAATAATACTATGATTTCCATTTAGTGCAATTTCTCCAAAAGCATCTATTTTTGCTTTCATTTATGTCACTTGAGTGACCTCTACTGTCTCAATGTGGAACTAAAGACTTGACTGCGTTGTGAGTGTGTCTTCCAAGTTTGTCTCCAGAATATTGCCAAGAAGAAAGCAAGTCCTTGATGTAATTTATGGCCATAATATGCTTGATTAGTAGGTTGATAACAGAAATTTGACAGTGAAATATTTGAGTGAACAGATTTTATTTCAGGGTATGAGGGGAAGAGACATTACAGGCTACCCCCCCCCCCCAAATATTAATCCATGGAGGGCCTAGTGTCTGCTGGTTTTAGTTTTTTCTTATCAATTAAGACCTAGACAACCAGTTGAGGGGAGTTAGCGACCATAATTCATCAATAAAGTACAAGGGAGGTAACACAAAATGAGTAACACATCCATGGCCACATTCGTAGGTTAGCCTACTGTAACTATAAATGTCTTCTTATGTAATCATAGAAAGCGTGCATGTTCAAGACAGCATGCAAAAGTCGCAGGTCTGTGGAGATCTTCACAATTGCTATAATAATCTGTACAAAATCTCGAACAGCATTGATCACTTGCACTATGTCCTTTTAATGTAATCTCAACTGCAATCCAGGTCATTTGGTTGTGCTACTAGATTAAGCACAGTGATAACACATTAAGTTGTATAAATACAAAATATCTGACATTGTATTCCCATTTGAACTTTGTTGTGCTTTAAAATGGTTGAAAGAGCAGTGATAACACATTTAGATGACAACTAAACCAAAAATCGGATTGTTTTCCATCGGAATTTGGTTGTGCTTTTAGATGGTTCAAAGCATAGCGATAACACATTGGGAATTCTACAAACTTCTTGCTGTCTTTTTGAGAGGGTGAAAAATGGTTGAAATCTCATTGATCAACGTCTCAACCAAATATTACCCACATTTCCATGTTGAAATGACGTGGTGTGCCCAGTGGGATGCACTCACACGTGCAAAGACAAAGGCATACACACGCACACACGGACACCACCACCCTGAACCTGTAGACCAGGGGTATTCAACTCTTACCCTACGATAATTAATTGCCCCCAACTGGTGTCCCAGGTCTAAATCAGTCCCTGACAATGATAAAACGCAGTGGATCTGGCATCAATGTCCAAAGTTGAGTTTGAGGGCTGTAGACACATAAGCAAGTCTTCGACACACAAACTCACTCTGCCCAAACACACACCATTACATTGTATCATGGGGCTTCACACTTTGGTCCGCCTCTGTAGCCCATTTGCACCTAAACTAATGCCTGGAAACAATAACAATGGGATCCTATTCAAACAAAAGCCTCATTAATCCCAACCCAACCATCGCTTAACTTTCATTTGTAGACATTTCATCTGCTATTCGAACTACGGTACCAGTCAAAAGTTTGGACACACCTACTCATTCAAGGATTTTTCTTTATTTTTACATTGTAGAATAATAGTGAAGACATCAAAACTATGAAATAACACATATGGAATCTTGTAGTAACCAAAAAAAAGTGTTAAACAAATCAAAATATATTTTGGTATTTCAGATTCTTCAAATAGCCACCATTTGCCTTGATGACAGCTTTGCACACTCCTGGCATTCTCTCAACCAGCTTCACCTCTAATGCTTTTCCAACAGTCTTGAAGGAGTTCCCACATATGCTGAGCACTTGTTGGCTGCTTGTCCTTCACTCTACCGTCCAACTCATCCCAAACCATCTCAATTGGGTTGAGGTCGGGGGATTGTGGAGGCCAGGTCATCTGATGCAGCACTCCATCACTCTCCTTCTTGGTAAAATAGCCTTTACACAGCCTGGAGATGTGTTGGGTCATTGTCCTGTTGAAAAACTAACTATAGTCCCACTAAGCCCAAACCAGATGGGATGGCGTATTGCTGCAGAATGCTCTCGTAGCCATGCTGGTTAAGTGTGCCTTGAATTCTAAATAAATCACAGACAATGTCACCAGCAAAGCACCCCCACACCATAACACCTCCTCCTCCATGCTTTACAGTGGGAACTACACAGGCAGAGATCCTCCGTTCACCCACACCGCATCTCACAAAGACGGTTGGAAACAAAAATCTCCAATTTGGACTCCAGACCAAAGGACACATTTCCACCGGTCTAATCACATTTCCACCGGTCTAATGTCCTTTGCTCGTGTTTCTTGTTTAGTAGTGGTTTCATTGCAACAATTTGACCAAGATGGCCTGATTCACACAGTCCCCTCTGAACAGTTGATGTTGAGATGTGTCTGTCACTTGAACTCTGAGGCTGGTAACTCGAATGAACTTATCCTCTGCAGCAGAGGTAACTCTGGGTCTTCCATTCCTGTGGAGGTCCTCATGAGAGCCAGTTTCATCATAGCGCTTGATGGTTTTTGCGACTGTACTTGAAGAAACTTTCTTGAAATGTTCCATATTGACTGACCTTCATGTCTTAAAGTAATGATGGACTGTCGTTTCTCTTTGCTTATTTGAGCTGTTCTTGCCATAATATGGATTTGGTATTTTACCAAATAGGGCTATCTTCGGTATACCCCCCCTATCTTGTCACAACACAACTGATTGGCTCAAACACATAAAGAAGGAAATTAATTCCACAAATTAACTTTTAAGAAGGCACACCTGTTAATTGAAATGCATTCCAGGTGACTACCTCATGAAGCTGGTTGAGAGAATGCCAAGAGTGTGCAAAGCTGTCATCAAGGCAAAGGGTGGCTATTTGAAGAATCTCGAATATAAAATATATTTGGATTTGTTTAACACTTTTTGGGTTACTACATGATTCCATGTGTGTTATTTCATAGTTTTGATGTCTTCACTATTATTCTATAATGTAAAAAATAGTAAAAATAAAGAAAAACCTTTGAATGAGTAGGTGTGTCCAAACTTTTGACTGGTAGTGTATATCCTTTTATTGTGTTTGTTTATTTTGTACTGCGTGAGAGACGAGGTGATATGCGTCCTGTTCAAAACCACTTGATGCTAATGGTTTGGAAATAGCCAACGCAATCAAAGCTAAACTGAAGGGATAAAATGTAGGCGATTGACTGGGCTTTGCATTCCTTTCCCCAGCGCTTAAACTAAGTGCCTTGCCGACGGGCCACCTTTGGGAGGTGAAGTCCTTTTTATTTGCAGCTGCAAAAGCCGGGCCATAAATACCAAGGGGAGGGGGGAGGGGGGGCAATCATGACCTTGGGCGCTCTCTGACTCTCCGTCCAATCAGACGCAAGAGAGAGTCTGGTGCCTCACCATCAGGATAATCTAACGTAGCAGGCGTAAAAGAAACGGCTTTCTGCCGATCCTGCATAGGCTATATACAGGACAATTATGACGCCTGAGAAGAAGGGGAGGGTCAGGGCAGACAGAGAGAGAGAGAGGAGGAATAGGAAGGAGAAAAGGAAGGAAGGAGAGAGGTCTTAGGTCTTGTGGAGTACTGACCCACTGACCCTCCATAAAAGGTCAAGCTAGGGTCATGAGAAGCTAGGGTCATGCAGAAGCTTTCGTGTGAGTAATAAAGGTGTGATGAGGTGAAGTTCAATGTCTCCTCGCAAATGTTAAATTATTTATTATTCTATTCTGCCAGGTGCCGTATGAAAATAAACCTCTAACAGTATAATCTTCCTATTTCTCCTTTCTTACCATTGACTATCATCAGTGATGCACTAGCGCAACTAGTAAATGCTTATTCCTCACTGTCAAATAGTGCCATTGTTAGCTTAGTAGAACTCGGTAGCCTGAATGTCATATTCTGGCAAAGACTGCGTCAGTCTTCTGTTGAATAGCTTTCCCCACTTTCCTGTCTGATCCCCCCCCCCCCCCCTCTCGCTCTCTCTGCGGCCTTGGGGACCCGCTGTGCGAACCGCCGGAGGACTGCCCGATGTGTCGTTGCTGTGCGGGACGGGGAACGACGGGGGATAGGACCGAGGGATGCATTCGCTCCTCTCCCTGGCTGAAAAGGGTCTCTGTTGCAGCGGCTAGTGGATCGCCTTACACGGCCACTTCCTGCTTCCGACCCACTCCTCACAGGCGACCCTGTGTGCCCGCGCCGAAAAAAGCCCAAACAGAGGGGTTCAGTCCGCCACAGGGCCGAGCACAGGATCCTATTCATCCCCCCTCCCTCCTTCCCTCTGCCCCCCTCTCCACCCCTCCGGCCCCTCTCCACTTTATTTTTTAAAAAGTCACAAATATTCCTCTCTTTAGAGGCACTGCAGCTCAACAGCCACTCATTCCTGCTTTCCAGTGGTGGGTGCTTGAGATCTGGCCTGTGTCAGGGTTGCAGCAGGCAGGCAGGAGAATGTGAAGGGTGTCAGTGTTGACTAGAGTGTTGGGGATGTGAGCTGTTTGTCTATCCATCTGAAAGAGACTACGGACTGTTTGTCCGTCTGTCTGTTTGTCTTTGAGGAGGGAACACTTCCGGGCCTCTACCTCGTTATGTAAGCAGGGGAGGAAAAAGGAGCAGGGGTCATAGATAAAAAGAGTTATAGAGATGCTTCATGGGTTTTGTAGCTTCCTGTGGAAAAGCTGTTGCTACGTGGGAACCCCCATCAACCCCCCCACACCACATTCACAGTCAGATGGGAGCGTACAGGAGAAGGGGTTGAGAGCCAGGGGCCCCTCTGTGTGAGGTGCAGGTGAGCGGCAGGAGGAGGAGGGTATGGTGGTCGTTGTGGGGTGCTATTCATGGAATGCTCCACTTTGTCCCATCTGGGCCTGACCACAGCAGAGGAGACGGGGGGGACGGGGGGGACGGGGTATTTAAGATTCCTGGGGAAATGGCAGAGTAGGCGAATAACTCTTAACACAAACAAACCCTGGGGCATTAATGATGGAGCTGGAGTTACTCTCTGGGCTGGATGTTTTTCCTTTACTCCACCACTGGCTCATCTTAGAGGTGAGAGAGAGAGAGAGAGAGAGAGAGAGAGAGAGAGAGAGAGAGAGAGAGAGAGAGAGAGAGAGAGAGAGAGAGAGAGAGATGGAGAGAGATGGAGAGAGAGGTGGAGAGCGACAATGCCTTAGCGAGAAAGCACCTCTCGCTCAACCCTGATATTTTCACTACTGTCCTTGTCGTTCGTTCCTCCATCTGTTCCCTTACCTCTCTGTCAATGGACATAGCCTTGTTTTTCTTCGTTAAATACATTAAAACAGCACCCGATATGTCCACCATTCCTTTACCGTGGATAGAAAAACATTGGCCCCTGCCTGCTCCCCGGGCTTCCCCCCTTCGGATTTCAGCCCCAGATGAGGCTTGGAGAAGAATGACGCTCTGTACGGCCACTGCAAGGGGCCATTCATCGAGGCCTCAGCCCCAGCCACAGTAGAGGAGCGTACAGCACTGACCCACACCGGCTAGAACAGAACCAACACTGATCCCAGACCTGCGAGCCCCTAGCAGCCCCTAATAGCCACACAACACAGGTATTGATCCAGACCCTTCGCTTCCACTGGACAGATAGGGTCAGTAGTAATACTAAGACATCTTTCAGAGATCCATCCAATCAGATCACCAGTAGGATCAGACCAGACAGGGACACAACACTACCAGTCATTCAGCCATAGACTGGGGGAACGGTTATGGGTACAGTCTTAGAGGCTTTTTGGTTTAGGTGGAACCCTTTTGGGTTCCATGTAGAAAGGGTTCTACATGGAACCCAAAAGAGTTCTACCTGGAACCAAAAAAGGTTCTTCAAAGGTTTCGCCTATGGGGACAGCCGAAGAACCCTTTTAGGTTCTAGATAGCACCTTTTTTTCTAAGAGTGTAGTTCAAACGGTTTGGCTATGACAACACCTGCACTGATTCAGACACACTGACACACACCTTCAGTTCCTTCCTAGATCTAGGCAAGCCCAGTGGAGACACACACAAACGTTATAACGTTTAGGTTATGATCCATTTATGGCTACCCATATCTTTAGCTCTTATTTCACGGAAGAACACGGCAGTCAAGCATACTTTTATAGAGTAAATTAGCCAGTAATCGGTCTGCAATATCACGACAATGTGTGCGTCTGCCTGCCCATTACAAAGGGGCCCGGTTAACAATATGCAACGTTTATAATGATATTCCCTCGCTTCCTCTACTGCAGTTACAGTTCCATTAAATATATTTAGAACTAACCCTTCTTGTACATGTGGTTCCAGGGGTATTACAGTCTGCCATCAAACATCAACAATAAGACATGTAGTGTATAGGATATTATAGCTAGCCTACCTCAAAACTGATGTTAGCCTCTGCTCTATGATCCACCACAAACCCCTCAACTTGAATCTTCTTCCCAGCATTCTTTATTTTAATGGATGACCATATTTGAAAGTTTAGGTGGCTAATGAGCACTGAGACGTTTTATCTCCATAATTTCCTTCATAACGCTAAGTTTGAAAATGATTTACTAGGAGATAGCTAAGCTACTTGACATGTTTCAGCTAGCTAAGCTACTAAGCTTGAAGACGTGGTAGCAGTGCGTGGTAAACAACTATCTAGCTATGAAGTTGACACATCAGTCCAATCAAAGTTACCGGGCATAAGACCTTGATTTATCTGTGGCCAATGACAATGAGCCTTCTTGGGCGGGCACTTCTACTGTAAATCAATGGACCACCTAAGATGGGCTTTTGCTGGCTAGCTCTCCCAGCAGGTGCTGCGGCGATGTAGTGTCCCCATGAGTGACAACACCCTGAGCCAATCATGTGCAACCAGAGATGATCAATGATGCCTACGCTCTGTAATTTCTCTGTCTGCCCCTCCACCACAGAAAGCACTGAGCGAGGCTGAAAGGAGATGCGTTTTGGAGCTGCCTTACTTAAATAAAATATACTAAAACAACCATACAATGGGAAAGCGACCATGTAAATTGTTTGCTAACTGATATGATATATTGTTGTGGCATTAAATTACTTAGATATTAGATATTGTTGGTGCTATCCGCCTCACCTGCCCCACGTGATGCATTGTCAATGAAGAGCTAATGGATTTAGCAAGCTTATCACTAGCTAACCACTAACCAAATCAGAGCTAGCTAGCTAATGAAATCCTACCTGCTAAGCGCTAACTAAATTAGCTAGCTATCAGAATCCTACCTGCAATTTACACTGAGTGTACAAAACATTATGAACACTATGCTCTTTCCATGGCATAGACTGACCAGGTGAATCTATGTGAAATCTATGATCCCTTATTGATGTCACCTGTTAAATCCACTTCACTCAGTGTAGATGAAGGGGATGAGACAGGTTAAAGAAGGATTTTTAAGCCTTGAGAGAATTGAGACATGGATTGTGTATGTGTGCCATTCAGAGGGTGAATGGGCAAGACAAAATATTTAAGTGCCTTTGAACGGGGTATGGTAGTAGGAGCCAGGCGCATCGGTTTGAGTGTGTCAAGAACTGCAACGCTGAATGTTTTTTCACGCTCAACAGTTTCCCGTGTGTATCAAGAATGGTCCACCCCACCAAAGGACATCAAGCCAACTTGACACATTGGAGTCAACATGGGCCAGCATCCCTTTGGAACGCTTTCGACACCTTGTAGATTCCTTGCCACGACGAATTGAGGATGTTCTGAGGGCAAAAGGGGGTGCAACTCTGGTCCAGCTGCCCCCCTCCCTCGGCAGGCAGCATGTTCCATACGTGCCATGACAAACTGGGCTTCTTATTATGGGTCAGTTGCTGTCTGGCTGGCTGGCTGGCTGGCTGGCTGGCTGGAGGCAGCTGGAGCAGACCAAAGCCATAACCCCCTGGCAGAAGCTGCCTCTATTCCCACTCTGTGTGGACAGTCCTAGTGAGGCACAGTAGAGATCAGTGCTGGAGGCCTGAAGGTGGAGAGACACTGAGCAAGTCAGAGAAAGTGGTCCTATGTGCACTTGTCCGCCGGGGCCCAACCCTGCTGCTCTGGCTCCTGGAGCCTGTGTGTGAGGTGGGCAGCTGGGCCAAGCCAAAGAGTGACCCGGGGAGAGGGCTGTGTACTTTGGATGACGTTTTTTGCATAACTGGGGTCTTATGGAAAATGTTGCCTTTCAAGAGGAACTTAAAAGAGTATTTATGTAAACCTTGACAAAGAAAACTTTTCTGTGATATGTCAACAATTTGACCGGAGTGGAGATAGAAACCACACCAGGGACCCAAACCCCTAAGAGTGTGAAAGTTCTTTAAGCAGAACATTATAAAATCCCGCTGGGTAGCGCTTGGAGTGGATACACTTTCTGCTACTGCTTTCTGTCTATGGATCCATTATGCCACATGACATCCATATGGAGCACCAACCTTAGCCATATAAACACAGTGTCAAATGGGGTCAAGAACAATTATGTATAGAATTTTCACTGTCCAATCACAAAAGCTGCACTTTCACTTAATTTGCAAAGGCTCCTGACACCTGCCACTCTTGTTTAGGCAACCCAAATGACCAAAAATGTGTCCATGTCAACAGGAGAGATCATCTCACAGAAAATAATAATTTCTGGTGACCAAAAGTAGCGAGCTAACATCAACTAACAGCTGCTCTCACTTGAGGAGCAGCACAAAGCTGATACTATGGTTACTCACACACACAGTGAGGAGCGGGGGGCAGCCAGAGACAAACAGCTAGCTAACTTACGGAGGAAGTTGCTGTATTTCTGATTTTGGGTTATAGCAGGGCCTGAAAGTCACGTGTATGGGTAGGGCTTAAATGTAATGCCCCTGCAGGACTCTAGATATAATGTAATATTGGTCGTGTCTGAGAGATAGAATGTAACATTGGTTGTGTGTTTTGTTTGTCCGTTAGCCCTGGGCTTGGATTCAAGCGTGAATACTTAGCCCAGACGTAACAAATGCTTGTGTGAACACAGGCTAAACTAGTCCAGGGCCAGTCTTAGCCTGGGGCTAAGATAATCCGGGGCTAAGAACAATGCAGTGTGAAAAGGCCAAAGATGTGGTTCTGGGTCCAGAGATAAACTGTGCTACTACAAATATCCTACTACGTACGATAGGTAGCATCAGCTATGATATCTAATCCTTGATAGAAACCGCAGCCATTTCAGATCTACCCCTTCTCTTTCGATCCGGACATCGACCATTTTGCCTGGTGCTGCTGAAAGATATGGGGTTGCCGTGGTGAAACCAGGTAGATCTAC